CAATAAAAAAAAGTTTGGAGACACTGTGCAAATCAGAAATGGAGGAAATGGTTACCTGCTGCTAATTGCTGGGGCTCCATCACTGACAGATCCAGTCTCAGGCCAAATTATAGCCAAAGGAGTGACCAGGAGCCTTAGGTCCCCAAGCTAAAATGACAGAGCCAGCACAATTTACCCTTCGTTCATATTAACCAACAAAAACAGGTCTCACTCCATAAAAGTAGGCAGTGAGGAGGGTATCTAGGCAAATCTAGCTATTCTATGAATTAATCCTCAACAAGCTCGCTAACTGACCCTCACCAAACAGACGTCTCTCATGAGGACAAACAATTGAGGGTCTCTAGGCTGGGGGTTTCCCGGAGGGCAGGCAGGGATGATTTCCTCTTTTGATTATACCGTTAAATCCCCCAGCCCTGTACATACTCAGAAGCCCAATTAGTGTTTGGTGAATTTAGCTGAGGTAGTATTGAAAGTAAATGTAGCATATTTGGGAATCTCTACCATTGCAAAGAATGTAACTCCATTCAAATAGCTGGACCTCTAAGCTGATGGGAGAGAAAGCAGTGAAGCTGCTGCTGCCTTTCCAAGTTGTCAGCCCTGGAATTGGTGGCAGATGAGGGGACAAGGCTTCTGAACCTGTAGACCCAAGGAGAGAAAGCTACCTCTGTGACAGCTAAAAAATGTAGCCAAAATTCCATTATTTGAGTCACTCTATAATAAATTCCCTTATAAGAGGGGCAGGACACTCGGTAGTCGAGAGTCTCAGCTGGTAAGTAACAGAGGCCCAACTCAAACTAACTTAAACCAAAAAGCGTCTATAACTGAATTTTCAAAGGTGATGATCAGGTTTAGACCACACTGAATCCAGGCCTCAAACCATGTCAAGACACACTTCCTAATATTGTCTGTCTGTCACCTCTGCCCTCTCCACCCACTCCTCCATCTGCTGCTTCTGAGTTGTCTTTACTCTCAATCAGGTTACCTTCACAAAGGGGCAGAAATGGCCACAAACAACTTCAGGCTGACATTCTCTAGCTTACTAACTCCTGGAGGAGAATGTATTTCTTTCTCAATAGTTACAACAAAAGACTTGGGCCATATCTCTTGGCCTAGACTTGGTCATCTGCCCATTCCTGAACTAATCACCCTCACTCTAATTGCCCCTAACAGCCGTGTGGAGCTGGGTGAAAGGGGAAGCCCACCAGAAAAAGTGCTGGCAGTAGGATTGCTCTCCAGCTGAAAATTGAGGTATAATATCAGGAGAAGGGGGAATGTATTGTAAGGATGCAAAACACTGGGGAGACAAAAGTAACATGCGTTAACTATACCTTAATTGCTTTCTTTGTTTTTTAAGAGGAAAGAGTCTTATTTGAAATAATGAGAGTTTTATATTTTATTAGGGGGTAATGGTTTTTAAAGACCACATTCTGGTAGTTGATATTCTCTTTACTAGATTTTTACTGCTTCTAGATTTTATGTTTTGTTTTAGTGCAGGGAGATAGAAAATTTTTTTAGAGAGACAAAAATAAATCATGAGTTATACTTAAATATCTAACTCAACTTTAACATTGCAGGGTTTTTACTTAAGTTATTCACTTTTATAATTTTACATATTTTCTTTTTTAATGAAATCTCTTTGAAGTTTATTTATTTTTGGCTGTGCTGGGTCTTCGTTGCTATGTGGGCTTCTCTCGAGTTGCGGCAAGCAGGGGCTACTGTCTAGCTGTGCACAGGCTTCTCACTGCAGTGGCTTCTCTTGTTGCAGAACACTGGCTCCAGAACGAGGGTTCAATAGTTGTGTCTCAAGGGGTTAGTTACTCTGAGAGCATGTGGGATCTTCCCAGACCCGGGTTCAAACCCATGCCTCCTGCATTGGCAGGTGGATTCTTACCACTAAGCCAGCAGGGAGGCCCCCTACATATTCCCTTTTACACTAAAAATATCCTAGTTCCTAAAGACGTTAATGTACATTATTTACTTTATCCTATATGTCAAAGTTCTGAAGTAGTAGCAATATTATTTTAATTTATTATGGTTCACATTTCATTATGGTTTGGGGTTCGATCTTAGGATGTAAGATTTAGCCTTTGACTGTATGGATTACAAAAAACTATGGAACATTCTTAAAGACATGAGAATACCAGAACACCTTACCTGCCTCCTGAGAAATCTGTATGCAGGTCAAGAAGCAACAGTTAGAACTGGACATGGAACAACGGACTTTTTCCAAATTGGAAAAGAAGTACGTCAAGGTCATATATTGTCACCCTGCTTATTTAACTTATATGCAGAGTATATCATACGAAATGCCAGGCTGGATGAAGCACAAGCTGGGATCAAGATTGCTGGCAGAAATATCAATAACCTCAGATATACAGATGACACCACTTTTATGGCAGAAGGTGAAGAGGAACTAAAAAGCCATTTGATGAAGGTGAAGGACAAGAGTGAAAAAGCTGGCTTAAAACTCAGGATTCAAAAACCTAAGATCATAGCATCTGGTCCCATCATTTCATGGCAAATAGATGGGGAAACAGTGACAGACTTTATTTTCTTGGGATCCAAAATCACTGCAGATGGTGAGTGCAGCCATACAATTAAGAGACTCATGCCTCTTGGAAGAAAAGTTATGATCAATCTAGACAGCTTATTAAAAAGCAGAGACATTACTTTGCCAACAAAGGTCCATCTAGTCAAAGCTATAGTTTTTCCAGTAGTCATGTATGGATGTGAGAGTTGAACTACAAAGAAAGCTGAGGGCCGAAGAATTGATGCTTTTGAACTGTGGTGTTGGAGAAGACTCTCGAGAGTCCCTTGGACAGCAAGGAGATCCAACCAGTCAATCCTAAAGAAAACCAGTCCTGAATATTCATTGGAAGGACTGATGCTGAAGCGAAACTCCAATACTTTGGCTACCTGATGCGAAGAACTGACTCACTGAAGAGACCTTGATGCTGGGAAAGATTGAAGGCGGGAGGAGGGGACGACAGAAGATGGGATGGCATCACTGACTCAATGAACATGAGTTTGAGCAAGCTCTGGGAGTTGGTGATGGACAGGGAAGCCTGGTGTGTTGTAGTCCATGGGATCACAAAGTTCAGTTCAGTTCAATCGCTCAGTTGTGTCCAACTCTTGGCGACCCCATGGACTGCAGCACGCCAGGCCTCCCTGACCATCACCGGCTCCCGGAGTTTTGTATGAGGCTCCTATGGCTGCTGTAGTATATTACCATAAATTTTGTAGCTTAAAATAAGAATTTTATTCTCTCACAGTTACAGATTGCTTTTTAAAATTGCATTTTCTTCAATTTTGGTTTTTAATTCTATAAAATGTACATGATTCCTAAGTCAAAATTATTTTAAAACAGATATATTCAGAGTTTTACTTCCATCCCTATATTCACCACCTAATCCTTTCTTCTCCTATAGATAACCTTTTAAAAAATTATTATTTGGGGTTTATCCTTCCATTGATAAGAGCTTCAAGGGGGTGGTGTGTGTGCTGTGATCTATGCACTACTTTCCATCTAGTAAGTGAGACAGACCCTTGAGCTCAGGAAAATTCACTCACTGAGCTCACTCACCCAGGTTGTTGTATTAGGGAAGACAGAAAAACAGAGAGGGCTATATCGCCAAGATAGCAAGGCTTCTTGAAGCTGTGAAGGATGAAGTTAAAACCAAAATATAGAATCTATAATTATTTCAAAAGTTAAAATACAACGCATGACACATCCAAACACAAGAGCACCCTCTGTTGGCCTCTGTTGGAATGCATATAACTGGTAGTGCCTGGATTTGAAAACTGCTGAGACCAGGGTGTCATGTTGGGTTAGCTTTACTAAAGAAACATAGCTAAAAAAATAAAATAAAGAAACATAGCTGCCAGCAGACTGGGAAGCCTTCGAGACCCATGTCAAATTTACGCTTGGCTCTCCCCAGCTCTCAAGTCCTGTGGCCCTTGGGACACATGCTGATGCTAAATATCTATGTTACCACATCTTGGGGAAAAAGATCCTTACTTTCCCTCCTGCACCTCTTTTCATGACTTAGAAAACAAGCAAACAAGAGCTGTGTTTTTTACTGTCACTTGGTCAAAGCCGTGACAGTAGTGACACTGCCCTAACTCTCAAGGTGCTTCCTTCCTCAGACAGTATATCTGAGTATTTGTGAGGGAGCAACGTGGATCAATGAAAGGAGGAGCCATGCATCTGGCTTGTCCTCCCTGCTAGCTATGTGTCCTTGGGCAAATTATTAACCTCTCTGAATCTTGGTGTTCTCATCTGAAAAATAAGAATGATAGTATCCAATTCATGGGCGTTTCTGAGGTTTAAATGAGTGGTGTGTGAAAACTCCTGATATGTGATGCCAGTGCTGCATATGAACCTCAGTAAATAATAGCTACTACTACTATTATTATTTCCTTTTTGCTTCACAGGAAATTTGTGAGAATCCCCGATTTATCATTGGTGGTGCCAATAGAACTGACATCTGCCAAGGAGATCTAGGTAGGAAAGTTCCTCTGGTCCTATTTAGCCAAACAATCAAGGGGTGATTAAGAGATATGATCCTTTTACAGTAAGTAAAGGGACAATAATCTGGTTTTGCTGTAATGGATTTGGGGGAGGTAGTTTTGATAACATTATTTAAACTCATTCAGCTCTGTGTTGGTGATTGCTCCATTTAATTTCTGTCCCTCCCACCTTTCTTACCAGCTCTTTGCCTTGTGTCACAATAGGAGGTGTACGTCCTCTCCAGAGTCTCCAGGACACTCACACACCCCACTCAGCAAGACAAAAACCCTGTTTCTAGCAGGACCCACCTTCCTTAAAGGGCTTTCCTGGCGACTCAGTGGTTGAGAATCCGCCTGCCAATGCAGGAGATGGGAGTTTGATCCCTGGGTCAGGAAGATCCCCTGGAGAAGGAAATGGCTACCCACTCCAGTGTTCTTGCCTGGTAAAATCCCATGGACAGAGGAGCCTGGCAGGCTAAGTCCATGGGGTCACGAGGAGTCAGACATGACGTAAAGACTAAACAACAACCTTCCTTAGACGGCAGCTCTGAAATTGTGTGCCATGCATGTCCCTTGGGCATGCAGAATTGATATGCTCACAAAAAATGCTTTCATAACTCAAACTCCTGTTTAAACTGCCCCAGAATAGTTCTGTATTAAAGAAGCTTTTCAACAAAGAAGACACCTGCCATGTGGATGAGCATCCAATTTTTTGTCCGGTTAATTAGCTTGGCTGCTTCCTCGTCTCAGCCTCTTATATGGAAGGCATTGTCTTTAGTGCAAACTGCAGCAAAGTTCTGTGAAATAAAGTTGGAGGAAACAAATATCAACAGATACAATTTAGAACAGGAGGGAAACGGGGCACTCAAGGCCAAATGAAAAGAATTTAGCTAATTTGGTCCCGGAAGGAGAGGCTGAAGAGGTTTTGAATATCTGACTTCCTGCACTTGAAGGAAGGCTGCCTGCAGAGACCTGGCCAGCTGATAACCCGGGCCTTCCAACCAACACAGTTTCAGAGGAGAGGCTGGCTGCTTGGGAGGTGGCAGGTGGGGAGGGTGGGAATGGTGGTGGGAGGAGGCCTGCGGAGGCTCTCGGCCTCCCCTCTGCAGGCTCAAAGATGCCGTGACATCCTACACAGCACAACAAAGGCCTTGCATAACCTAGCCTGTGTTCTGTTAGTGTTCCTGACCTGCCACTTGGGCATTCACACACACACACACACACACACACACACACACAAGCAGGGCAAAGTGCCACCTCCAAATACTAACCAGGTTACAGTACTAATGGGCTGGACTGATGGCTCTCAGATGCTCAGATTCTGCAGTCACATTGCAAAGGTGCAGGGCAGGCAGCTTTCCTACAGGTGTTAGAAAGAATGACCCAATTATGACCCCCCACTGCTGTCTCAATTGAGGTTCAAATGGAGGTCTGAGCTTATACTGCAGACAGAGGAATTGCCTATAGCCTTCAGGAAAGCAGTCATGAGGGAGTAAATTACCCTGTTGATCACATGGTCCAGGGACTGTGGTCACACTCCTTTCCTTGGCTGACACCTCCATAAGGTCAGATCTGAAAGCAGGACAGTGAGAGCCAAGTGCACGCCCTTCTCCAGAAAGCAGATGGGGATGGGGTCTCCTTCTTCCCTGGAGGTGTGGGCCCTCCTGTGACCTATGCCATGTGTTTGCCTGCAGGGGATTGCTGGTTTCTTGCAGCCATCGCTTGCCTGACCTTGAACAAGCGTCTGCTTTTCCGGGTCATACCCCATGATCAGAGTTTCACCGAAAACTATGCGGGGATTTTTCACTTCCAGGTGAGGTCAAGGGACTCCAGGTGAGGGTAGTTAAGAGGGCCAGCGGGCCATCCACCTACCACTGGTCTCCCGGCCTTGACTTCCCAGTGGCTCCAGGAAAGATCCCCACCCACCCACCCGGCTATGACTGTGGGCAGTGAGCCCCTTCAGGCCTCAAGCCTGTAAGGAAGTAGTTGTTTATTTCTTCCTACTCTCAAACCCCTACACCTTCCGTTAGGCCCCAGAAAGGTTGGAGGATATCCTGTTTGCTGGCCTGTTGGTCTATTTTTACCTTTCCAGCTGTCAGGCTTCTATGTGATAACCAGAAGCCCTTCTCAAGTAAATCCCTAAGACTCTAGCACTGAGAATCCAGAGGGCCCTTTAGGCTGCAAAAGAAATGCCAACACAAGTCTATACCCACTCTATCATTCATCCCTTCCAGGCTCTGGAAGAAAAGTCTCGTTAATCTGGGGACCAGGCTTCTGGTTTGGCCCAGCAATGAGTCTTTTGGTTTCAGAATAAGTTCAGACACTGAAAACTTTCTGGATCCAAACTGTCCTAGCAAAGAGCCAAACCCCATGCTGACCCAGAACTGAAATGAGCCTCGTATGTGGGCATCTGTATCTAGGGGCGTTCTGAGGCTTCTGAACAGCCCTGAAGGCTCCAAATGTCCTGGACTGACCCGGGTCATCAGTTGATCTTGTATCCCAGGATGGAAGGCCTCAGAAAGGGTCCTCTCTGCAGGTTTAGGATCAGAGTCCTGCTGCCATCCCAATGCAGACAGGGCAGCGGGGTCCCGAGTCTTGTTTTTCCCTATGCCATCAAGCTGCTCACTCCCCTTGGGTATTTAAAAGGATCATAAATACAAAGACCACACAGATTTTTGCCCTCTTGTTCATAGGAGAGTAAATGTCATTAGAAGGAAATTAAACTACTTTTGGCTTTCTTGGGTTAAAACTGATTTGTTCAAGAAAGAACATCATCTAGAATTGGGATTACTGGACAGTGTTCCTGCTTTAACCAGAGTATATTCTGGGTCACATTCCATTTCCATGTCAATCTTTCTTCTTCAACAATTCCTACCTTATTTGTCATCAAGAAGTACATAAATTATACATCACCTTTTCCTAGACCAGTGCTTCTCAGCCCTGACTGCATATGAAGAGCAGCTGAGATAACTAAAAATACTGATACCTAGCCCCTCCCTAGCCCTACGGAGCAGCAGGAAAATCTCAAGCCCTCAGATACACATGGAGTACCTACCATCCCCTGTACTGAGCTGGACTGTGTGGAAGAGACATAATGGTTTATAACGTACTTCCTGCCCTCAAAGAGTTCGTGGTCCACTTAAAGAAAAATTCACCCTCTCTAAACCCAGAATAGTATGAACAAAAGGAATGTGGGGTAGAGACGCATTTCCCACTGGTAATCTGAGGATGGCACTGTGCTTGATGCTTCTGTGCAGTTCTGGCGCTATGGAGACTGGGTGGACGTGGTTATTGATGACTGCCTGCCAACTTACAACAATCAACTGGTTTTCACCAAATCCAACCATCGCAATGAGTTCTGGAGTGCTCTGCTGGAGAAGGCTTATGCTAAGTAAGACGGGGATAGGAAATCTTTAGCTTCCATAGTGAGCTCTTTAATCATCCCTTCTTGGTGGTGCTACAGATCCTGGATCCCAGCATTATTTCTCTGGAACTCAAATCCCAGAGCCTTGGTTGGCTCAACCTCACGAGCTCACTATATATACATATATGTATGTGTATATATAAAACTTTTTATTTTGTATTGGGGTATAGCTGATTAACAATGCTGTGATAGTTTCAGGTGGACAGCGAAGGGACTCAGCCACATGTATACATGTATCCATTTCCCCCCAAACTCCCCTCCCATCCAGGCTGCCACATAACACTGGAGCTCAGAATATATGAATAAAAGCCATGCTGCCTTTCAGAAGCTCCACTCCAGCTACTAGAGGCTTTAATGGAGCCCTACTTCAGATTCCGGGTGTAGTGGAAAGAGAACCATCAGGAAGTGGGAATAGCAGTTTCCAGTCCCAGTGTTTCTCCTCTCTGTGGCCTTAGCTGGTCACACAGCCTCTGGGGCTCAGTTGCTCCATTGTGAGGAAACAGAACCACAGTACCTGTTCAAAAGCTTAGAGAGTTGTTGGAGAATTTGGACAAGACAGCATCACAGGACCCAAGAGTAAAGTCCTGGAGCCAGGGGTACCGGGGTCATGTTTCCTGGAACCCTGTGACCCCAGACTAGTCTTCATCCTCTCTCTAAGGCTCCATGGTTCGTATGAAGCCCTGAAAGGTGGGAACACTACAGAGGCCATGGAGGACTTCACAGGAGGAGTGACAGAGTTTTTTGAAATCAAGGATGCTCCCAGAGACATGTACAAGATCATGAAGAAAGCCATCGAGAGGGGTTCCCTCATGGGCTGCTCCATTGATGTAAGTCTGTGGTGTGGGGTGCAGGACAGGGAGCTGCCAACTGCTGGGAAGACTTACCCAGTGAAGAGTAGCACAGGGCTTTCCTCTGGGACAGGGTGAATGTTCTGTTTTAGGAAGCAAAAAAGTAGCTCTCAACTTTGAAAACTGGGAATTTCTCAAGGGAGAAGTTTCTGGAGTTTCCAATAAAGAGGTGGAATTTAGGCGGAAATAGGCCTCCAAGGTTGGTGTTTCTCAGTTCCAGCATGCCCCTAGTAAGCCGGCCACACATTGGGCTATGGACCTGAACCTACCAGTTCCCTAAGAAAGCCTCCCAGTCATTGGGCTTTGATCATCTCTCTCACATGAGACACAGGCTTTGTGTTGTAATCTGGGAGAAGCTCAGCCTGCAGTCCACCTCTCAACGAAGTGGTGTGAACTGAGACCAGAGCCAAGGGTAAGGGGATGGCAGACGGGCCAGGAGATACACCTTCCCTGGGGGGTAGTCAGTGTATTCTAATGGCCTTGGTTATCTCTGCTGGTGAGGAAGGGGCCCCAAGCTGAATTCCTGTTCTTTCCTCTCCTAGTACACCCAGTAGATGGGAAAGCTTGGGAAGATGAAGCGCCCATGGACAAACGTTTTCTTTCTGCATCACTGTTCTCCATCTTTTCTCCATTCAGGCTCTACTTACCTCTCCTCTGTTTCTTTGTCTATCCCCTCCCTTCTTTCGCTCTCCTTCCCTTTCTATCACCCACCTTTGTTTACTCTCTCTCCCTCTCCTGGACTGTCCCCTGCCCTCCCTGTTGGGCCTCAGGATGGCACAAACATGACCTATGGAACCTCTCCTTCTGGGCTGAAAATGGGGGAGTTGATTGAGCGGATGGTGAGGAATATGGATAACTCGCGGCTCAGGGACTCAGACCTCATCCCTGAGGGATGCTCAGATGACAGACCGACTCGGGTGTGTACTCCTCCCACCTGCATGGCCCGGGTGTGTTGTGTGGTGTCAGACCTTCCTCAGCAGCTGGCACCTCCCACGTGGGCTCCTCCTGGGGCCTTCCAGGGGTCTGGGTTGGAATCTCTTGCTCGCTCCAAGGCTCCTGAGGAATGGGGGGAGACAGCTTTTGGAGGGAATCTCCGGTGTGGGACTGGGGGGGTGGGGCGGGTTCCTTCATATTCCATGGTCTAGGCAGTTTCTCGGATAATGAATTAACTGGCATAAATATTTACAAAACAGATTTCATTTATTTCTAAATTATTTCTCTCCTTCTAGTTCACTCACTTATGTATTTGACACTTATTTACTGAGCTCCTACTTGGCACTCTTCTAACAAACAAAGAAAATTCTCTCCCATTTGTTTAGGATTCTAAGGAATGAGTGGTCTCCACACACTCCCCACCCCCCACCCCAGAGCTTATATTCTAGTAGTTTGGGAAGTAATACACACTATACAGTAAAGCAGAGGAAAAATGAACCTATTTTTTTCCCTATCTGAGGATAATAACATTTGGCATATGTCCTACTAGGATTTTTCTATGCATACACCTAATCTAAATTTTTATTTTAAAAATTCAGTCATATTGTATGTGCTTTTTTGCAGCATGCTTCTTTTTCAGTTAGCTTTGTATACCTAATGTGCCAATAAGAATCACATTCTTAGTGTGTCTTCTATAACACTTTTAGTGGCTGTACAATAGTCCAACATGCAGATAAATTATAATTTTTTTACCCCATAACTAATTATTGGGAATTTAAATATTTTCTTTTTCTGTTTTGGCTGTAATTTTTAAATGTTACAGCAAATATCTTATTAGATACATCTTTGTGTCCATCCAGGACAGTTTTCTTTGCACAGATAGCCAGTAGTGGAATAGCCAGGAATGCATATGTAATGCCACAAGAGTCATTTCAAGCGGTTTCCCTGGTCTAGAACTGAGAGATTCATGAAACTCCTGCCCCCTTCCCTTTCTATTCACATGGTCTGGGTCCTCTAAAGACTGAAATCTGGAAGAGGTTGAGATGCCAAAAGCCTTGGCTCCTCACATACCCCTCACTTTGAAAAGGGCTCCAGGCTACCTCTTAAAGCTGTCATATCACCAGGCAGAGTGAAGTGACAGAGATCCATTTAGGGTTCACTGGGTTTTGGTCATCCTACCCTTCTGCCAAGGATCTCCTGTGGCTGCAAATCTCAGATGGAAGAGACCTCCCTGCTCCCTGAGGCACAGTCATGTCTGAGCAGAACTTTCCTCTGGCTGCCTTGGAATTCTCTGCCTGGGTGCAGGAACTTTTAATTTCTTTCTTTTTTTTTAACTTTTGGCCATATAACATGGCACGTGGGATCTTCGTTCCCCAATCAGAAATCAACCCACACCCCCTGCATTGCAGGCATGGAGTCCTAACCACTGGACCACTAAGGAAGTCTACTTTTAATCTCTTGAACATGTTCTAGGGTGGGTGAAGAAGGTGAGGGGATATAAAGATAAAAGGTTAGACCTCCATGTTTCATCTAACCCCTTTTCTCAACCCCTTTCTCTTCCAGGAATAGTCAACCCTGGGTGGGCTCAAGGAAGGGGAGCCTGACCCAAGGCAGCCTCCATACCCCCCCCACTTCTTCCTTTGAAAGACCCCAAGGGATCCAGAAAGGAGGGCCAGGCACGCTCTCACTCACCTCGCGGCTCCAGCCTCCACATTGTTCTCCAGTGGTCAGGGGACCAGCTTGACGGAAACACCTTGTCTGGGCTGCATATTCTTGGCTCTCTTAAAGGGCTAGTGAGGGCCTTCTCAGGGCTAGGAGCCATGCTTCCAGGGCATGGAGGAGTCCTTGTCCTCACTGGACCCAGGATGTGAACCAGTGTGAACTTTGTCTCAGGAAACAAGCCCTGATAGGCTGTCTGGTTTTCACTCCACAGACGATTGTTCCAGTTCAGTATGAGACAAGAATGTCCTGTGGGCTGGTCAAAGGCCATGCCTACTCAGTCACTGGGCTGGAGGAGGTGAGCCTGGTGGGGTATGGAGGGATAGGACTTGAGGGGCTACTTGGGGGAAACTCCTGAAGTCAGGTCTTGGCTTTCTGGGCCCCACTGCATCTGCAGAATTTGCCTCCAATCAGGTACTCAGGCTGAGTGATGGGTTGGAGGAGACTACTGGGACTTGTAGGTGGATCTTGCCACAAGACAGTTCTCACTTTATGTTTGATTTTAGTGCTAAACATAGCAATTGCCCCAACATTTCCAAAGAACAAATAGAAATCACTTTGGTTTTATGAAATTAATTTTATGGGCTCTTGTGTTTCTTGTTTTTCATGGTCACTAATGATGTCTTGCTCCCACTGGCACATCTGGCCTTAACTGGGTCATGACACAGACAGGGAGTTTGTCAGGCCCCTTGTGCACAGTTGGGCCATTGTGCCTGGTCATATGGATGGGCAGGGAGAGGCAGTTGCCCACAGCAGCCCATGCCGCAGACAGGAGAAAAGGGGCCCCTTTTTCTGATTGATCTACTTAGAGGGGACATTCTCTGTCACTCTTCAGCCAGCAGGGGCATTTTTTTCTATTAATAATTCACGCAGAGACACCTGATTGCCTACATTATGTGCCCTGCCTCCTCCACCCACTCCACTCAAATTTCTAAGTGGCCAGATGTGCACTGTGAAAATCACTTCTTAGAAGATGGCAAGGTGATGGCCAAGCCTGAGTCCTGTAAGCTCGTGCTAAGGTTCTGCCAATTCACAGCAAACTTGTGATTAGTCTCCTTGACCAAGCAGGACAGCTCCCTGTATGGGATCCTCTCCCCACTCCCACCCCAACCCTCAGGGCAAGACAGAAGACCCCCACCCTCCACCCCACTTCAGAAAGGGCCCAGAGCAAGAGAGCTTTTCCTCTTTGCCCAAGGCCCTGTACAAGGGTGAGAAAGTGAAGCTGGTGCGGCTGCGGAACCCCTGGGGCCAGGTGGAGTGGAATGGCTCCTGGAGTGACAGGTGGGTGAGGGGACCCCATGAGCAGGGGACAACAGGACCTGGGACAAGGTTGGGTTGGGGACCAAACCGTAAGAATACGACAAATGCTTGGTCTAAAATCACCCTTAAAACCAATGATCCAGAGGAGAAAAGGGGGTGTGGCTCCAGGGAAGGGCTGGGACCAGAAGGGGTGTGGCTCCAGCTTAGGGCTGAAAGCAGAGCCTCGGGAACCTGGGACCCCAAGAGCTTTCTGATGGCCATTGAGGGGAAAGGAAAGATCCTAGAGAGCATGGGCTATGTCCAGGCAGGAGGGGAGTCTGGATGCAGTGGTCTGACTGGACAAGTAACTTCCCTTCTCATAATTATCTATAAAATGGGGGAAATGTTAGCACCTACCTGGTGGGCTGTTATGAGGAGAAAATGTGATAGTATTGCAGAGAGCTTAGCCAGTGCTAAGATTTCCTCTCCTTCACTGGCCCCAGTAAGAGATGCATAGGTCCTTTGAAAGAACTGTACTACTTATTACTGGGAGCAAATGACTGGGAGCAGCTAAAACAGCACACAGAGGGAGGAAGATATTGTGAAGGCTCCAGAACCTTCACAAAGCCTTTATTGTTCCACCCCAATCGCTGGCTCCTGACTGCCTCTCTGCAGGGAGAGTGGGTCCTGGATCTCCTTTATTCCCAAGGGGGCAGAGCAGGACTCCTTAGCTGAGAAGGACCACAACCAGGTGTGTACCCTTAGACCCTGTGCTAATTTTAACATACCTCTCATCTCAGGGCACCGTAATTACTGGCTTGTTCGGCCATTCATTCATTTAGCAAGTATGTGTTGAGCACTTACTGAATCCCAGGCACAATCCTAAGCGCTGGGGGCATTCTGTGAATAGGCAACCTTGCTGGGTAGACCAATAAGGTGCTGATCCTGGTCTTCTTACTGTTCCCTTCTCATCCGTGTGACAAATATCAGACACCTCATTGTGCAGTATGTGTCAGGCCCCATGCTCCTGTCTGGGGACTTAGAAATGAACACAGAGATTAAGACACTGCCCTATAGGCCTTAAGGTCTAGTGGGAAGGACAGAAAAATAGTAATCATTGAGGTAAATGCTATAGTTAGGGTCACAAAGCAGGCGCCCTTCTCATAGTTTGAGGGGACAAGAAGGTAGCAAAAGGTTGCCTGGAGGGATGGCATTTGAACTGGGTTCTCTGCTCTGGAAGGGTCCCTGCTGCCCCATAAGTCTATCAGCCCACTAGTCACCCACAGGGACCCTCGCTATGTTCTCCAGTCTCAGATATTGGGGTCCACTTTCTGCCAACTCCTCCACTTCAGGGACTGCTGACAATTGGGACTCAGCCTCGGTCACTCAAGGAGAGTTCCCCCACCCACCCACTGCATCCCTCCTGCTGGTCTCAGGAATCTCCATCTCCCCTCCGGTATTCCCTGATTCCAAGCACTTCTTCAGTCCCTAACCTCTCCAGAGATGATCCAGTTTAGCTTCATTCTCCTCACAAAGGTGCTTTAGTTCCTCCTTCTTTGGGAGACAGTGTGTAAAACTGTCCAGCCTTTAAAAAATACAAAACTGGGATGTTTTGTGGGGTGGCAGGAGGAAGGAAAAGTTTACCTGTTTAGTCTTTCTCTCAGTAACTCAGTTACTTATTAGATGACGGGCCTGTTCTAAAAGTTTTACATGCAATATTTCATCTCTTGCTCATCACAGCACTGCGAGTAGGTGACATAATCATTTCCCTTTTGCAGTTGAGAAAACAGAAGCTGTGAGAGGTGAAGAGACTTGCCCAGGGTTACAGCTAGTACTGGTATAATTAAATTGAAATTCCAATTTACCTATTTCCAGGGCCCAACTCCTAACTTGAAAGGGTGAGGAATGGTTAAAGTTTTAATCAGAGAAAAGTCAGGTCCTCACAAACCATTTTAAAAGCTTGGTCTTAATCCTGAGGATGGTGAGAAGCAATTATGGGGTATCAGGTCAGATTTGCATTTTGGTGGTTCACACTGGCTGCAGTTGGGAGAGGAGCTATTTTGTTCATATTTCTCTGATACCTCCTGGCCCAGCTCATATCAGGCCTTCCCTTTCTTTTCCCTTTCATCACACCTCCGTCTTCCCTTCAGCTGGAAGGACTGGAGCTATGTGGACAAGGACGAGAAGGCCCGTTTGCAGCACCAAGTCACTGAGGATGGAGAGTTCTGGTGAGTCCAGGACCCAAGAGGACTCTGAAGGGTAAAGGATGGGGTGGGCACTGAAATCTCAAACCTCCAACCCCAGAAAGTGGCCGTCAGATTCCAGCCCTTGGAACATCTGAGCCCTATTCTCCAAATCCAACCAGAGACCCAGAAAGATTGAGGGTTTTGAGAGCAGCTTGAGCGTTATGGTGATGACCGGGCCCCGGACTGAGCCAGTGCGCTAGGGCTCCTGCCGTTTTGTGACACTCCACCACACGCACTGCTCCAGCCACTTGCTCCTGGCCTTGGTGGAGCTGTTTTCTGATTGGAGGAAGCCCTACCTACTCAGCTCACACAATGCCACTCAGATCATTTCTACTGAGCCTTCAAGTCTCAGATTAAAGGGAACTTTCTTCTGGACCCACTTGTTTTCCTCAGGATTGGGATTAATTTGTGATACTTATCACCTTTAAAATTGCTGGCTTAATTGTCTGTGCTTACCCAACTACCCCTCCCCTGTGCCTGGTACAGTGCTTGGGCCAAACAGCGAGGGGCAAACAGGACCACTGTGGAGAACCAAATTGCTGCCAAGCTCTTCAGCAAGAATGCATGAGTTTGAGTTGTTAACGCAAGAGATACATCAGAACTGACAGTGTTGGGACTTCCCTAGCAGTCCAGTGCTTAGGACTTTGTGCTCCGGCTGTGGAGGACATAGGTTCGATCCCTGGTCAGGAACGATCCAAAAGTCACATGGCAAGGCCAAATTTTAAAAAATAAATATATAAAAATTTAAAAAAAGAACTGACACTGTGTTGACCCTAAGAAAGGAAGGACAGGGTCCTCTCTAGGACCATGACAAAGTTGCTTTGGGCTATTTCATTGTGCTGTGTTAGCCCTGCATTCTTACCTTTCCCAGCCTTCCAAATCGGTCTCTCTCTTCTTCCAACCTCTCAGGATGTCCTACAGTGATTTTATCTACCATTTCACAAAGCTGGAGATCTGCAACCTCACAGCTGATGCCCTGGAGTCCGACAAGCTTCAGACTTGGACAGTGTCCGTGAATGAGGGCCGCTGGGTGAGGGGCTGCTCTGCCGGAGGCTGCCGCAACTTCCCAGGTGGGAGATGCTCTGGATGGGGGAAGGGTCCAAGCAGAACAGGTTCCAGGCAGAATAATATTAACTAGCATCTGCTGAGTCTTTACTAACTTCCAGACATACAATCTCTTATTGAACTGTCCCCATTTTACTGAGAGGTGACTTCCCTGGTGGCTCTGTGGTAACGAATCTGCCTGCCAATGCAGGAGACACAGGTTTGATCGCTGGGTCGGGAAGATCCCCTTGAGAAGGAGATGGCAACCCACTCCAGTATTCTTGCCTGGGAAAATTCTATGGACAGAGGAGCCTGGTGGGCTATAGTCCATGATGTCACAAAGAGTCAGACACGACAGTGACCAAACAACAACAACATTACTGAGAAGGAAACCTCCATTCTGAGTAGCTTACATTAAGGAGCTGGTAACAACTTTTCAGTTCAGTTCAGTCGCTCAGTCGTGTCCGACTCTTTGTACCATGCCTCCCTGTCCGTCACAAACTCCCAGAGCTTACCCAAACTCATGTCCATTGAGTCAGTGGTACCATCCAGCCATCTCATCCTCTGACATCCAGGTTATTATGTCAGAACAGGACCGTGTTCATTATGCTGAGGACTGAACTGGAGAACTGAGTTAGCAGCAGCTGCAAGAGTTTAAGCCAGAAATGATGAAAGCTGAGGCCAAGTCAGAAGCAGCAGAGAT